ATTGTAGGCCTGCATCCATGTAGATCTTGTGTTACAGAAGGAACATGATGTCAGTGTCACTGACTTGGACTGAAATCAAAGATGCGGTCTTCAATGATTTGCAAAAGGTCGAAGATAATCCTAGTATTTGTTTCAATGTTCTGGTTGATATACCTTTGTACTTGTTCACACTTCAGGTGGCCATACTGGGAAGTGAACTTCTGACACTGACTTTTCCGAGCATGATATGTCTCCTTTTAGGTATTTACAGTGAGGAAGTACTTCTAGTTTAATAATACTGTAATATTTCTGTGAGCACAGATAAGATGAACAGACAATAAGACATTGTCTAAAGCAAAACATTCTTTTGCTTTTAGACTTTCTTTTTTTTTGGAGAAAAATTGAAAGTCCAATTATGAAATGGTCATAACATTATTATTTCTACAGACATGATGCTTTCTTATAAATAAATAAACTGTAGCTAAATTGTTCTATTTTTATGTTAAAACTTGCATGGATAGTAATTTAAGATTTTACAACGTGTTGTTACAGGAAATAGCACAATAAAAATTTAAACTAGTTAAAAATTCAAATTGGTAATTGCAAGCTAATTCAGGCACACAGTTTTAAAGTTTAAACTACATTTTGCTTCAGAACTGGGGCATGGTAGGACTTCGAGGAGGCCATGGAGAGAGACTTGGAGACTTGGACATGGAAAAAGACTGTTGGCCTTGAGGAGGTTCTGGCAAACCATTTGGCGATTCAGAAAAGAAAAGCATTCCCTGTTTCAGACTACGTGGTTTGGGTGGGGAACTGCTGACCCGAATTGAGAATATTGTTGTGGTGGAAGGAGCACATTGATAGCCTCCTCAAACCACCCTTCATGACCACCATTAACCCTCTAAGGTCCATACCCGCTACAGAGCGAGCGTTGACATGACACATTTAAGGGCTACTGTGACAGAAATGGCAGCATGCTGAGTGCTCATTTCAACTGGGTTGAAAAGCAAATAAAACCAGATTTATGAGAAATCATTTTTGCCATAATTTTTGTGAGCATTTTTATGTATTTGCTGCACATTCAGTGAACGTTTTGTGACCAGGAAGTGTTGAATCCAATATGACACCCATTTTTCTAAATTTCTCAAATGAGTCACTTTTCTAAAGCAACCCATAAAAAAATTTCAGTACGCGTGCGGAGACTTAGTGTGGTTAAAACCAGACCCTTGTCCTTTGCTTTGCTTTGTACGAGGTTCTGGACTCTTGACTAAAGAGAAGCGATTCTTGCTGGAGGCGTGGCCGCAGTTGAAGTTTAAAACGATTGGATCAATTGGCCGCGACGTATGTGTGCCAGCTCCACTGTGAAGGAGACTAAACTAAGAAGCTAACCCGAAATTGGGTGTGCTGTAAACAACCCTACTGAGAGGAGAGAAGTACCAAGCTGCTTTGTCAGACAAATTTAATTTAATTTGGAAGCCTTATCAACACAGACTGGCTTCATTCACTTCCTCCACTGTCATATGCTAAACTAACTAGCAGACACTGCGCAGAAAATCAACGTTCAAAACTTCTCCTTCTGTTTGCTGATTGGCCAAGGTGAAATAAAGTACAAGCAGACACTGCGCAGAAAATCAGTGTTGTCGTTCCAAACTCCGCCTTCTGTTCTCTGATTGGCCTGGACGAAATTCTCCTGAAGAAATCCTCACCTATGGGAGAAATCCCAGATGGACCAGTGAAGGGAAGGTAGAATTGAGCGGAACTGAGTAGGAAGGCAAGGGCCAGGCTAGTGGAGAGCGTGAGAGTGTTTTGGAGACTGGATGAGAATGAAGAGCAGTCAACATTTTGGTTGTGCTGAAAATAATGATACCAAATAAGGCCAGGTAGATAGTTTTTAAGGTGAAAATATAAGGGAAAATTCAAAATGAGCAAAAACTGCCATTTAGACCTCAGACTTTAGAGGGCTACAGAGGCAGAGTCTGAAGACATGGAAGAAGATGAGTCCATAATGATGGCAGAGGTCACCAAGGTAGTCAAAAAGCTCCTTGGTTGCAGGGCATCAGGGGTGGATGAGATTCGCCCTGAGATGCTGAAGGCTCTGGATGTTGTGGGGCTGTCATGGTTGATACATCAGTTCAACATCTCATGGAGGACTGGAACAACTGTTGTGGAGGGCAGACCTAGGTGGTGGTTCCCATGTTAAAAAATGGGACTGGAGAGTGTGCTATAACTATCGTGGAATCACACTTCTCGCCCTCCCCAGGAAGGTTTACTCCTGGATGTTGGAACGGAAGCTCAGATCGATAGTTGAACCTCGGATTCAATAGGAGCAGTGTGGCTTGCAAGAGTATGCTGCGGGAGTGTGGAGTGTCTGGGTTGCTACTAAGGATGATCCAGTCCCTGTATAACTAAAGCAGGAACTGTATTCTTGGCACAAAGCCGAGCTTGTTTTCACTGCAGGTTGGACTCCGTCAGGGCTATCGCTTGTCTCTGATCCTGCACCTTGAGACAGGATCTCACGGTGCAGTTGTGGAGAGTAGGGTGTCTGATTTGGGAACCACAGGGTCTCAACTCTGCTGTATGCAGATGATGTGGTTCTGTTGGCATCTTTGAACCAAGACCTTTAGCCTGCAATGGAGCAGTTTGCAGCTGAGTGTGAAGCGGCTGGGATGAAAGTCAGTTCCTCTAAGTCTGAGGTCATGGTTCTTGACTGGAAATTAGTGGAATGCCCCCTCCGGTTCAGGGGAGAGTCTCTGCCTTAAGTAGAGGAGTTTAAGTATCTGGGTGTCTTCACACGTGCTCGCAAGTGAAGGTAGGATGGAGCAAGAGATGAATCAATGGATTGGGGTCTTGTCCTCACGAGGATGTTGCTTTGGTCGATCATGGTGAAGAAAAAGCTGAGCTGAAAGGTAAAGCTCTCAATTTACCGGTCTATGTTCCAACCCTCACCGATGGTCACGAGGCATAGATCATGACCGAAAGAACGAAATCCCAGATACAAGCTGATGAAATGAGCGTCCTTCAAATAGGGTGAGGAACTCTATCATCTAGGGCAGTGGTTCCCAAACTTTTTATCTTCTGACCCACAAAATATTCATGGCAAAAACTTGTGACCCCAAATATTACTGGTCTGTGTACACAAACTTTGTTAATAACCATAAAAACACAGCTTGTACACAAATATAAATACTTATTTATACTTATTTTGTGTGTTTGTAATAATTATACGGAAAATATTACATCAGCAATTATTTTATTACCCTTTAAATTGATTTCTGGAGATTATCCAAGGTGCGTCATGACCCTTAATTGGGTCCCAAGCCCAACTTTGGGAACCAAAGTGCAGTGGTTCCCAAACTTTTCAGCTTTTTACCCACAAAATAACAGCAGCAGAGACCTGTGCCCACAGCTATTTTTGGATGATAAACATTTGTATCAGGTCATCT